ACTGACTCACAAGTACCCCACTGTGTATACCCAGCGCTCTGAGTAGTGAATGTTGCCGTGATAGGTCCACCTTCGACAAATCTTCCCTTCCAACACAACAACCGCTTATGCCAAAATGTTGAGTGGACAGAGGTTTTTGCCTTAGAGCGGGTGGTCGGTGGACAGTCGGGCATACAAAAAATGGTACTTAGTGTGACCCTGTCTAACGCTCGGCAGTAAAGGTATAAAACAAGGATTGGTCGTCTCGAAGTCAGTCCACGCACACAACACACACACACACACACACACACACACACACACACACACACACACACACACACACACACACGCACGCACGCACGCACGCACGCACGCACGCAGGCACGCACGCACGCACGAACGCACGCAAGCAAGCAAGCACGCACGCACACACACACATGCAATGAGTGCAATAATCTTTTGGAAGCGAAGTACAACCCACTTTACCATAACTCCTGACAAGTTCAATACAATTCTACTTACACTGTTCTTCTGGCACTTGTGCACTGGACATTGCCAGGCATCCCAACAGCAAGCCAAGAACCGCTGACGCCATGGTTGCTGAGCGTGTTTTACTGGAAAGAAGGGAAAGGTAAGAGTTGCTGAATTTCGAGTGAACGAAAAATCGACCCATCGATTTAATATACCACCAACTTACTGGTAAACACGCCTTATGCAAATCCTTCATTTAAATGAAGTGTGTCGCTCTTCCCTGATGGGGAGGGACTGCACCCATAATTAGGCACGTTTCTACACGTGTCATAGGATTGTTCCCACTTTGCCGGCAGACAAGAGGGGGATTTAAAAAACATTACGGTGAATTAAAAGCTATAGTCTGTTTCACCTGAGATTCACCTTTCAACTATTTTATCAGGAAATGATCATATGTCAGTAAACTATGTGTTTTACTAAATAAACACATAAAGTGAAGACGATAAACCAATCTTAAGTAATTAATGTCCTCCCCTTTAAGTCTGATTGCAAAATGGCAGTTACACAGATCAACGTTAGATATATTGAATTTCCTAATTCTCGTGGTGGACAGAGTTTGGTGTTAGTTGGTTGGTTGGTTGTTTTACGCCGCACTCAGCAATATTCCAGCTATATGACGGCGGTCTGTAAATAATGGAGTCTGGACCAGACAATCCAGTGATCAATATCATAAGCATCGATCTACGCAATTGGGATCGATGACATGCATCAACCAAGTCAGCGAGCCTGACCACACGATCCCGTTAGTCGCCTTTTACGACAAGCATAGTCACCTTTTACGGCAAGCATGGGTTGCTGAAGACCTATTCTACCCCGGGTCGAGTTTGATGTACAATGGGCATAATTCCAGGGTTATGTGTGCGCAAGCTTGCTGACGACCCAACTGATCAGGGGGTCCTTGGTGGTGAAGCAGTATTGTGGAACCATTTTACCAAAGTTGGGCCAAGGTCAACTAACCATGTTGAGTGTTTGCACTCCAAAATGGCACAAATCACTGCCAGTCATCAGTATTCAAATTCATAAACTTCATCAAATCAGAGCAGAGCTTCACTGAGATAACGATTCTTCAGCTGACCGGACGGAGATCTCTGAGATAGTACCGTCAACTGGACGAGCGACTAGCAAGCCAAAAATGAAGATGGCACCATATCAACGCTTAAATAGGTTGATTCCGTTTCCCACTTTGTTTGGTTGTTATGTCGTCTGGAAACTGGACGTATTGTGCACATTTCATTTTGAAAAATGTATATTTCAATTTGTGAAATGAATATTATTGTGCTATTCATTACGATTTTTTTGTTTGCTCATCATGTTTTTAGTTGCATTTATAGACCTTATATATGTCTATGTGATGTATGTCTTGACAATTACGCTCACTTTGCCGGAAGGCTGGGGTCTGTCAAGTCTGGAACAAACTATAGTCTCAATCCCCCTCAATTTTTGTATTTGTCTCGTTGGATATAGTTACGAAGAATACTTGCCAGCAAAGTGAGAGCACCCTGTGTCAGCTCCCTGCCTTAATTCTTGGCATTGTTCAAATCGGGCTCAAGCAATACACTAACTTAGTTCCCCATTTGGCGGCAACACATACCATTTGCAAGTTTTTTGTTGCTATTTTTCAAATTCCTGTGTAACGGCCCCCGTTACGCTCGCATCCATTGGCGAAAACATAATAAAGGGCGGTCTGATTACCCAAGTGTCTAGTCAGTGTTGATTCTCCTCTTTATGAAGACGGTTTAGTCTACCGGATGGTTTTAAAGTAATTACAGCGCACAGTTTGCACAGCCAGATAAAAACAAATCGGGATGCTTATTGTAATTAACTGTATCAATGGTAGAAATGAAGAGGCATTTTCTTTAAATGTTATGTTTGTCACGTGAAGGCCTTTGCAAATCCACGGATGTTAAAACGTATATGCCTACAATCCTTCTTTTTCTTTACATGACGTACCAAAGGGCGAGACATGGACGATTTACTTTCCCGTAATGAGCATGTTTTGTGCTGCGCTGGTTTCCCCTCTGACTCTCCCGTAATGAGCATGTCATGTGCTGCGCTGGTTTCCCCTCTGACTCTCCCGTAATGAGTATGTCATGTGCTGCGCTGGTTTCCCCTCTGACTCTCCTGTAATGAGTATGTCATGTGCTTCGGTGGTTTCCCCTCTGACTCTCCCGTAATAAGTATGCTATGTGGTAGAAAAAAAACGTAATCATGTCATACTGGGATAGGTAAGGATGATTCAGAAGTAAATCCGGATCAAATAAAAGCGGCAAAATTTTTTTGCCATCATCATCACAAATATCTACTAAAAAAGCTGTGTCTATTGTACAATTCCAAGTATTCCGCCTAAGCTTTTGTCAATGAGGTGAAATTGGGTTTATTATTGCACTCATATAGCGACGTGCATGCACGTGTGTGTATGTGTCTGCTTGTACCATCTTTTAACGTCTTTTGGTATGAGGCGGCCCGAGATCGAACCCCGGACCTTCCGCTTTCCGGGCGGACGCTCTACCACTAGACCACGGAGGCGGTCCATGTGTCAATGAATCGCTGTCAAATAGTGATGATACTGTATCGATGTATTCAGAATGGGGACATGATAACTAAACATGAAACAAGGACATACAGTAATACTACCTTAAAGGTTGTTACATATTATAAGTATTTAGGAGTGCCTCTTCAAGGTTAATGTGGTCTATGGCTAGCAAATAACTAGCTCTACAACCATCTGAAACAATTTGGCCAATTTACAAATTATTCAAGAACAATTATAAATCATGTACTACGGCCACGATGTGACTGTAAAAGCGCACATATTTTATTATTTGGATCGAAACGTTGGGGACTCAGGTATTAGGAATCCACTGAAGCAAGTTCTCACTTTGTACTTTATGCGACATTTAGGAGTTGATAAATGCGCTTCAAATAAGGCCATGCCTTGTGAAACTTGCCCTTATACTCTGGTATATTTCTAGTCATATACGAGGTGTCAAACATTGAAGTTCTTCAGGATGGATGGACATAGATACCTGACTCAATAGTATGACATATTACAGCAACTTCATGACAAAGGCAAGAGCATCTGGGTGTCTGCAGTACGGAACTTGGTATTTATGTGTGGATATTTTTCGTATGGAGTCAACAAGAGATTGGCCGTGAAGAGCTATTATCGGATAAGGATTACAAGATTATATAGGGGGAGGATGGCGTATTAGTTAACCCTTGTCAACAGCAATGATAACGAGAAACGATCATGGTCTCGGTGTCATGCTCGACAATCTGTATCAACAGCATTCACAACGAGGAACGTGCATTGTCTTATAGCCGACAATCTTCATCAATAGCATTCACAATGATGAACGTACATGGTCTTATACCCAACAACCTTCATCAATAGCATTCATAACGAGGAACGTACATGGTCTTATACCCGACAGCCTTCATCAATAGCATTCATAACGAGGAACGTTTATGATCTTATACCCGACAACCTTCATCAACAACATCCATAACGAGGAACGTATATGGTCTTATACCCGACAACCTTCATCACAGCATTCACAATGATGAACGTACATGGTCTTATACCCAACAACCTTCATCAATAGCATTCATTACGAGGAACGTACATGGTCTTATACCCGACAACCTTCATCAACAGCATTCATAACGAGGAAAGTACATGGTCTTGTACACAACAACCCTTATCAACAACATTCTTAACGAGGAACGTACATGGTCTTATACCCGGCAACTCTTATCAACAACATTCACAGCTAGGAACGTACATGGTCTTATACCCGACAACCTTCATCAACAGCATTCATAACGAGGAACGTACATGGCCTTATACCCGACAACCGTTATCAACAGCATTCATAACGAGGAGGGAAGAATATAGATAGTAACGGTACCGTAGGCCCGACAAAGGCTATTCTATGGAGATAGGATTGGGAGGGCATAGCACGAGGACGGGAATACTCAACGCCAGAGAATAACCAGTCTGCATTAAAAGGAAAAGGAAAAATAGTGGTGAGCATTATATGAATGAACCACTGAAAATCAGAGATGACACCAGTTGTTCGCGAAAGGTTAAGCCTGCCCTGCCCTGCCCTGCCCTGCCCTGCCCTGCCCTGCCCTGCCCTGCCCTGCCCTGCCCTGCCCTGCCCTGCCTCGCCCGTAGCTGCCCTGCCCTGCCCTGCCCTGCCCTGCCCTGCCCGTAGCTGCTAGCACTCACACAATTTGCATAAAAAGGAAGTGTTTTTGAATTTTGAAGTCGTTCCCCGCCAGAGGTCTCACTTATTAGGTGTGTCATTCCTCCGAGGTGGCTGGGACCACCACACTTAACGACCTTCTCAGAACTAAAGTCGTTATTTAGGCCGCCGTGATGCAGCAGGCAGATGCAGCATTAACACGCCATGCCGACCCCCACTCACTTGACAGCAGATGAACTATTGTCTCGCTCGTCGTTTGAAAATATATGCATCACAAAGTTATAATTGTCTGACTGGCTTTATTTGAAGTTCAGAGAATACATAGTTTATGCTGAATCCTATTGTCCGTTGCGGAAGTTGCATCTGAGTTTGTCATCCTCTGTCAGATCTTCAGCGTACACACAGGTGAGTTTGCTCTGAGAGTAGTAGAGGTCTTGGTTGCAGCTGAAGTTGTACTGGGTGTTAAGATAGCAGTATGTGAAGGCTGAGCAATTGTAGGAATCCACGCCGGTCACACAGTCTGGAAGCAAACACATACGTACAATACAGCGTTCAACAGAAATCACCTTAGAACTGTAACCATCTTCGAATCACACGCCTATGTCCCTAAAGCAATATCAGTTAGTTCTTTTTCTCACAGTAGTCGAGATTAATAGAAATAATATCAATCTTACTTATGTAATTTCATTAAATAGAGAAAGAAAATATAATAAAATGTCATATTTTGATATTATTATTGATAAGTTAAAGGCTACTGACATTAGTAATCAGGCTTAACGGGAGGCATAACATTCCAAAATCTTAAGTTTATATCGTATTTGTGAAATTTTGCTCAAGTCACGTAGTAACAAACCGCCTGAAGGAAATCCTGTCAACATCACCACTAGACTGGCATCTTTAACAATATATACTATATGCTCAAGAGCTATTTCTTGATTGATAATATCAAAAAGAAAATAGCAAGATATCGATTCCATTCTCGATTCACGATCGTCCCTTCCTGTTGACATTTATCCTTTAGGGTAAGTGAGGGTTGGAGTGAGGGTTCCTCCTTTAGTGTATTGTTATGGACCGTGGAAAAGCCACAGTATTTCCGGTCGGGTTTCGGATTCATGGCAAACCAGTGACCATCTTCCCGAGGCAAGAGTCAGTTGACTGTAAAAGCCCAGTTTCCACCATTGCCAAACTATGCTGGAATTTCTGGGCTCAATCGTTGCGCCACCAGTGGCTATTATGAGTTATTTCCCTTCTATGTTCCTCCTTTTGACCAATCAGATTCCACTTCTCATATCACTTGCACTTGCTGCAAACAAAGTTGCTGCGCGAAGTCAAGACAATCGATAATCAAGATCTATATTGTAAAAAAATGGGTCATACTTCACGAAGTGCATAAGATCACATAAACACCTTGATTAGAAACATGAAAGGATTTGCAAAATATCCGTTGACGCCGATTTGACGGCACACACGCTTTACAAACCCTGCAATCGACCGAAATCTGCCAGGCAGTTAACGAACCGGATGTCAAATTCCTCACGCGATTTTGATTGGACTGTGAATAGACTCGTTTGGCCAGCCAAGATATAACTCGGGCGGTCGGGTAGCCTTGTGGTTAAAGCGTTTGCTCGTCACGCCGAAGAACCGGGTTCCATTCCCGACATGGGTACAATGTGTGAAGCCCATTTCTGGTGCCCACCGCCGTGATATTGCTGGGATATTGCTAAAAGCGGCGTAAAACCATACTCACTCACTCACTCAAGATATAACTCCATAATTCCAGCCTAGTTCGGCAAGAAGAAAATTGGATCTTCGAAGTCAGTTTACTCTCTTGCTTCGGGAACGTACCCCGTGTCCGCTGTTGATCATCTTCAAGCATTCAACGGTTATTAGCGGAAACTGGGTTCTACTAAGTTTATAAATACTAGTTACTGAAATAGCTGATATAGACTATATGACTTAAAAGATTATTCAACCTGCCAACGTAGCAAGCCATTTGAAAAGACAGTCACGGTCCCGTGAAGCATCTTGTGCATTCGGGGAATAAAGAAAGTTACGTCTCAGAATTCTTTCTGTTCACAAAACGGGTGTACATTGTCAATCTGAACTGTAAATGATAACCAGTTGCTAGGCAATGCTTAGTTGAATACACAAAACAATCAATCAGATTATATTAATGTTCTCGTCTGAGATGACAACGATATTTCACTATTGCTACGAAATAATTAATATCATATGCATCATGTATGTTTCGTTACCTGGGGTTTGGTTGAGGGCTACCTGACAGTTGAAATCTAGTAGGTATTCACACCTCTGGGTGTTTTCATTGAAGAGAGTCGTCTCGGGACACTGAAGCATTCCATGGTAATCCTGACCATAGCAATTGATGAACCTCTTGCATCCCGAGCCAGGGGCCGCGTACTTCCACTCATCGTTGAAGTTATTCTGACATAGGACCGCGTCTGAAAGACAGTGAAACAGTCATATTATCTAGTACACACATAGAGTCGGAAAGACAGTTAAACAGTCATACTATCTAGTACACATATAGAGTCTGAAAGACAGTGAAACAGTCATATTATCTAGTACACACATAGAGTCTGAAAGACAGTTAAACAGTCATATTATCTAGTACACCCATAGAGTCGGAAAGACAGTGAAACAGTCATATTATCTAGTACACACATATAGTCTGAAAGACAGTGAAACAGTCATATTATCTAGTACACACATATAGTCTGAAAGACAGTGAAACAGTCATATTATCTAGTACACACATAGAGTCTGAAAGACAGTGAAACAGTCATATTATCTAGTACACACATAGAGTCTGAAAGACAGTGAAACAGTCATATTATCTAGTACACACATAGAGTCTGAAAGACAGTGAAACAGTCATATTATCTAGTACACCCATAGAGTCGGAAAGACAGTGAAACAGTTATATTATCTAGTACACACATAGAGTCGGAAACGTCGGTGCCGCCACAGTCAGGTCGGTATAAATGTACAGACATCGAAATGGGGCCTACACTGTCAATAATGACAACCTCCATTTTCGGTATTATTTCATACGTCAATGGCGAGATCATGGCAGGTAGGCTACATGAAGGAGATGTCAACATGTGGGACTATCGAGGTCGAGTCTGGTTCAAGCAACACGGCTCCTGCTGTTCTGATACATTCTGCTGCAATGGGAATTCTCAAGACATTCCCGTATATTAAGTCCGACAATGCCAACCCATGTACAATGAAAGCGTTTCCTTCATTGCGACACGAACCAATTACAGTCAGGACGCATATGCCAAACTTAGTAATATTCTGACAATATGACGGGGTCTGTAAATAATCGAATCTAGGCCAGGCAAACCAGTGACTGATGTCATGATAATATAAGGAACACATCCCTTTCCATATTCATAACAAATCTACCAGAGTCGATTGTACGATTCCGACTATATCATAAGCAAGTGATTATGAATCACTACCAAATAGTCATGATGCCAGATGTTTACGAAAAGATGAGCGTATCCTGCCCCACCGGTGGCACCCGTCACAAACACATGCAAAGGTAAGTCAATTGTTCACCTGGAAAACGGAAACATATGGTACAAGTCAAAAGAGGGAATGTATGTGACATCATTTTTGTCACGGATGCGTCAAATTTGATAATGTCCTACTGAGGCCTTGGATGTTAAACCCTTGATCGAACAACGATCCGCGCCGTCAACTCACTATCAACCCATGCACAGAGTCCGACCGCCCTACTCATTTAGTCGCCTTGTCCGAAAAGCATAGGTTGATATGGATCTAATTCTTACCCGGAATTCCCATGGTGCACGACACAAGCGGGTTCGACACAAGAAGTATACACCTAAGCGAATGTGCCCTCGCTTATCTCTAGCTGCGGATGCATTGTGGGCCTTGTTTCACCTCGTGGTGTTAGCGCTGCGACTGCCCTTATTGTCCAAATATACTCACGTATTTTCTTACAAACTGTGTCGAAACAGATGATAGTGCTCTTCGTGCTGAACAGAAGCACACTGACTCACAAGTACCCCACTGTGTATACCCAGCGCTCTGAGTAGTGAATGTTGCCGTGATAGGTCCACCTTCGACAAATCTTCCCTTCCAACACAACAACCGCTTATGCCAAAATGTTGAGTGGACAGAGGTTTTTGCCTTAGAGCGGATGGTCGGTGGACAGTCGGGCATACACAAAAATGGTACTTAGTGTGACCCTGTCTAACGCTCGGCAGTAAAGGTATAAAACAAGGATTGGTCGGCTCGGAGTCAGTCCACGCACACAACACACACACACACACACACGCTCGCACGCACGCACGCACGCACGCTCGCACGCACGCACACACGCTCACACGCACGCACGCACGCACGCACGCACACACATGCAATGAGTGCAATAATCTTTTGGAAGCGAAGTACAACCCACTTTACCATAACTCCTGACAGCAAGCCAAGAACCGCTGACACCATGGTTGCTGAGCGTGTTTTACTGGAGAGAAGGGAAAGAGAAGAGTTGCTGAATTTCAAGTGAACGAAAAATCAAGAGGAAGACAAGAGGGAGATTTAAAAAACATTACGGTGAATTAAAAGCTATAGTCTGTTTCACCTGAGATTCACCTTTCAACTATTTTATCAGGAAATGATCATATGTCAGTAAACTATGTGTTTTACTAAATAAACACATAAAGTGAAGACGGTAAACCAATCTTAAGTAATTAATGTCCTACCCTTTAAGTCTAATTGCAAAATGGCAGTTACACAGATCAACGTTAGATATATTGAATTTCCTAATTCTCGTGGTGGACAGAGTTTGGTGTTAGTTGGTTGGTTGGTTGTTTTACGCCGCACTCAGCAATATTCCAGCTATATGACGGCGGTCTGTAAATAATGGAGTCTGGACCAGACAATCCAGTGATAAATATCATAAGCATCGATCCACGCAATTGGGATCGATGACATGCATCAACCAAGTCAGCGAGCCTGACCACCCGATCCCGTTAGTCGGCTTTTACGACAAGCATAGTCACCTTGTACGGCAAGCATGGGTTGCTGAAGACCTATTCTACCGCGGAATCTTCACGGGTCGTGTTTGATGTACAATGGGCATAATTCCAGGGTTATGTGTGCGCAAGCTTGCTGACGACCCAACTGATCAGGGGGTCCTTGGTGGTGAAGCAGTATTGTGGAACCATTTTACCAAAGTTGGGTCAAGGTCAACTAACCATGTTGAGTGTTTGCACTCCAAAATGGCACAAATAACTGCCAGTCATCAGTATTCAAATTCATAAACTTCATCAAATCAGAGCAGAGCTTCACTGAGATAACGATCCTTCAGCTGACCGGGTTGAGATCTCTGAGATAATACCGTCAACTGGACGAGCGACTAGCAAGCCAAAAATGAAGATGGCACCATATCAACGCTTAAATAGGTTGATTCCGTCTCCCACTTTGTTTGGTTGTTATGTCGTCTGGAAACTGGACGTATTGTGCACATTTCATTTTGAAAAATGTATATTTCAATTTGTGAAATGAATATAATTGTGCTATTCATTACGATGTTTTTGTTTGCTCATCATGTTTTTAGTTTCATTTATAGACCTTATATATGTCTATGTGATGTATGTCTTGACAATTACGCTCACTTTGCCGGAAGGCTGGGGTCTGTCAAGTCTGGAACAAACTATAGTCTCAATCCCCCTCAATTTTTGTATTTGTCTCGTTGGATATAGTTACGAAGAATACTTGCCAGCAAAGTGAGAGCATCCTGTGTCAGCTCCCTGCCTTAATTCTTGGCATTGTTCAAATCAGGCTCACGTAATACACTAACTGAGTTCCCCATTTGGCGGCAACACATACCATTAGAAAGGTTTTTGTTGCTATTTTTCAGATTCCTGTGTAACGGCCCCCGTTACGCTCGCATCCATTGACGAAAACATAATAAAGGGCGGTCTGATTACCCAAGTGTCTAGTCAGTGTTGATTCTCCTCTTTATGAAGACGGTTTAGTCTACCGGATGGTTTTAAAGTAATTACAGCGCACAGTTTGCACAGCCAGATAAAAACAAATCGGGATGGTTATTGTAATTTACTGTATCAAAGGTAGAAATGAAGAGGCATTTTCTTTAAATGTTATGTTTGTCTCGTGAAGGCCTTTGCAAATCCACGGATGTTAGAACGTATATGCCTACAATCCTCCTTTTTCTTTACATGACGTACGAAAGGGCGAGACATAGACGATTTACTTTCCCGTCATGAGTATGTCATGTGCTGTGCTGGTTTCCCCTCTGACTTTCCTGTAATGAGTATGTCATGTGCTGCGCTGGTTTCCCCTCTGACTCTCCTGTAATGAGTATGTCATGTGCTGCGCTGGTTTCCCCTCTGACTCTCCTGTAATGAGTATGTCATGTGCTGCGCTGGTTTCCCCTCTGACTCTCCCGTAATGAGTATGTCATGTGCTGCGCTGGTTTCCCCTTTCACTCTCCCGTAATGAGTATGTCATGTGCTGCGCTGGTTTCCCCTTTCACTCTCCCGTAATGAGCATGTTATGTGCTGCGCTGGTTTCCCCTCTGACTCTCCCCTAATGAGCATGCTATGTGGTAGAAAACACCCGTTATCATGTCAAACTGGGATAGGTAAGGATGATTCAGAAGTAAATCCGGATCAAATAAAAGCGGTTAAAAGATTTTGCCATCATCATAACAAATATCTACTAAAAGCTGTGTCTATTGTACGATTCCGAGTATTCCGCCTAAGCTTTTGTCAATGAAGTGAAATTGGGTTTAACGTCGCGTCCAAGATTATTGCACTCATATAGCGACGTGCATGCACGTGTGTGTATGTGGCTGCTTGTACCATCTTTTAACGTCTTTTGGTATGAGGCGGCCCGAGATCGAACCCCGGACCTTCCGCTTTCCGGGCGGACGCTCTACCACTAGACCACGGAGGCGGTCCATGTGTCAATGAATCGCTGTCAAATAGTGATGATACTGTATCGATGTATTCAGAATGGGGACATGATAACTAAACATGAAACAAGGACATACAGTAATACTACCTTAAAGGTTGTTACATATTATAAGTATTTAGGAGTGCCTCTTCAAGGTTAATGTGGTCTATGGCTAGCAAATAACTAGCTCTACAACCATCTGAAACAATTAGGCCAATTTACAAATTATTCAAGAACAATTATAAATCATGTACTACGGCCACGATGTGACTGTAAAAACGCACATATTTTATTATTTGGATCGAAACTTTGGGGACTCAGGTATTAGGAATCCACTGAAGCAAGTTCTCACTTTGTACTTCATGCGACATTTAGGAGTTGATAAATGCGCTTCAAATAAGGCCATGCTATGTGAAACTTGCCCTTATACTCTAGTATATTTCTAGTCAGATACGAGGTGTCAAACAGGATGGATGAACATAGTTACCTGACTCACTAGTATGACATATTACAGCAACTTCATGACACGGGCAAGAGGATCTGGGTGTCTGCAGTACGGAACTTAGTATTTCAGTGTGGATATGTTTTAGTGTGGAGTTAACAAGATATTGGCTGTGAAGAGCTATTATCGGATTCGCCTGTTAAGAAAGATAATGACATGGATTGCCAAATTGGCATCACAGGATTACGGGGTTGCATTAAATAGAAGTAGGCTGATGTATTAGTTAGGGGTAAGGTGGCACACTAAATAGTTTTGGGGTGACAAATAAAATAGGATTACAAGATCACATTATATAGGGGTAGGATGGGGTATTAGTTAATCCTTATCAACAGCATTCATAACGAGGAACGTATATGGTCTTATACCCGACAACCTTCATCAACAGCATTCATAACGAGGAACGTACATGGTCTTAAACCCGACAATCTTCATCAATAGCATTCATAACGAGGAGGGAAGAATATAGATAGTAACGGTACCGTAGGCCCGACAAAGGCTATTCTATGGAGATAGGATTGAGAGGGCATAGCACGAGGACGGGAATACTCAACGCCAGAGAATAACCAGTCTGGATGAAAAGGAAAAGGAAAAATAGTGGTGAGCATTATTTGAATGAACCACTGAAAATCAGAGATGACACCAGTTGTTCGCAAAAGGTTAAGCATGCCCTGCCCTGCCCTGCCCTGCCCTGCCCTGCCCTGCCCTGCCCTGCCTCGCCCGTAGCTGCTAGCACTCACACAATGTGCATAAAAAGGAAGTGTTTTTGAATTTTGAAGTCGTTCCCCGCCAGAGGTCTCACTTATTAGGTGTGTCATTCCTCCGAGGTGGGCTGGGACCACCACACTTAACGACCTTCTCAGAACTTAAGTCGTTATTTAGGCCGCCGTGATGCAGCAGGCAGATGCAGCATTAACACGCCATGCCGACCCCCACTCACTTGACAGCAGATGAACTATTGTCTCGCTCGTCGTTTGAAAATATATGCATCGCAAAGTTATAATTGTCTGACTGGCTTTATTTGAAGTTCAGAGAATACATTGCTTGTGCTGAATCCTATCGTCCGTTGCGGAAGTTGCATCTGAATCTGTCATCCTCTGTCAGATCTTCAGCGTACACACAGGTGAGTAAGCTCTGAGAGTAGTAGAGGTCTTGGTTGCAGCTGAAGTTGTACTGGGTGTTAAGATAGCAGTACGTGAAAGCTGAGCAATTGTAGGGAACCACGCCGGTCACACAGTCTGGAAGCAAACACATACGTACAATACAGCGTTCAACAGAAATCACCTTAAAACCGTAACCATCTTCGAATCACACGCCTATGTCCCTAAAGCAATATCAATCTGACGTTTTCTCACAGTAGTCGAGATTAATAGAAATGTATCAATCTTCCTTATGTGATTTCATTAAGTAGAGAAAGAACAAATATTATAAAATGTCATATTTTGATATCATTATTGATAAGTTAAAGGCGACTGACATTTGTTATCAGGCTTAACAGGAGGCATAACATTCGAAAATCTTAAGTTTATTTCGTATTTGTGAAATTTTGCTCAAGTCACCTAGTAACAAACCGCCTGAAGGAAATCCTGTCAACATCACCACTAGACTGGCATCTTAACAATATATACTATATGCTTTATAAGTATTTCTTAATGGATAATTTAAAAAAGAAAATAGCAACATATCGATTCCATTCTCGATTCACGATCGTCCCTTCCTGTTGACATTTATCCTTTAGGTTGAGTGAGGGTTGGAGTGAGGGTTCCTCCTTTAGTGTATTGTTATGGACCGTGGAAAAGCCACAGTATTTCCAGTCGGGTTTCGGATTCATGGCCAACCAGTGACCATCTTCCCGAGGCAAGAGTCAGTTGACTGTAAAAGCCCAGTTTCCACCATTGCCAAACTATGCTGGAATTTCTGGGCTCAATCGTTGCGCCACCAGTGGCTATTATGAGTTATTTCCCTTCTATGTTCCTCCTTTTGACCAATCAGATTCCACTTCTCATATCATTTGCAACTTGCTTCAAACAAAGTTGCTGCGCCAAGTCAAGACAATCCGATCAATAATAAAGATCTATATTGCAAAAACGGATCTTGCTTCCCGAAGTGCATAAGATCACATAAACACCTTGATTAGGAACATGGAAGGATTTGCAAAATATCTGTTGACGCCAAGTTGACGGCACACGTGCTTTACAAATCCTGCAATCGACCGAAATCTGTCCGGCTGTTAACGAACCGGATGTCAAATTCCTTACACGATATTGATTATACTATGTATAGACTCGTTTGGCCAGCCAAGATATAACTCCATAATTCAAGCCTTGTTCGGCAAGAGTTGAAATTGGACTTTCAAAGTTAGTTGACTCCCTTGCCTCGGGAAGATGAAGAGTAAAGCGCTGAACATAGCCCGTGCCCGCTGTTGATCATCTTTAAGCATTCAACGGTTATTAGCGGAAACTGGGTTCTACTAAGTTTATAAATACTAGTTACTGAAATAACTGATATAGACTATATGACTTAAAAGATTATTCAACCTGCCAACGTAGCAAGCCATTTGAAAAGACAGTCACGGTCCCGTGAAGCATCTTGTGCATTCCGGGAATAGAGAAAGTGACATCAAAAGAATTCCTTCTGTTCACAAAACGGGTGTATATTGCCAATCTGAACTGTAAATGATAACCAGTTGCTAGGCAATGCTTAGTTGAATACATAAAACAATCTATCAGATTATATTAATGTTCTCGTCTGAGATGACAACGCTATTTCACTATTGCTACGAAATAATTAATATCATATGCATCATTTATGTTTCGTTACCTGGGTTTTCGTTGAGGGCTACCTGACAGTTGAAATCTTCTGGGTATTGACACTCCTGGGAGTTTTCATTAAAGAGAGTCGTCTCGGGACACTGGAGCATTCCGTGGTAATCCTGACCATAACAATTGATGAACCTCTTGCATCCCGAGCCAGGGGCCACGTACTTCCAGTCATCGTTGAAGTTATTCTGACATAGGACCGCGTCTGAAAGACAGTGAAACAGTTATATTATCTAGTACACACATAGAGTCGGAAACGTCGGTGTCGCCACAATCAGGTCGGTATAAATGTACAGACATCGAAATGGGTCTTGCACTGTCAATAATGACAACCTCCATTTTCGGTATTATTTCATACGTCAATGGCGAGATCATGGTAGGCTACATGAAGGAGATGTCAACATGTGGGACTATCGAGACTATAAAGACATCCCCGTATATTTAGTCCGACAATGCCAACCCATGTACAATGAAAGCGTTTCCTTCATTGCGACACGTACCAATTACAGTCAGGACGCATATGCCAAACTCAGCACTATTCTAACACTATGTCGGGCCTGTAATTAATCGAATCTAGGCCAGGCAAACCAGTGATTGATATTATGATGATAAAAGCAACAAATCCCTTTCCATATTCATAACAAATCTACCAGAGTCGATTGTACGATTCCGACTATATCATGAGCAAGTGATTATGAATCACTACCAAATAGTCATGATGCCAGGTGTTCGTGAAAAGGTGAGGGTGGCACCCGTCACAAACACATGCAAAGGCAAGCCAATTGTTCACCTGGAAAACGGGAACATGTGGTACAAGTCAAAAGAGGGAATGTATGTGACATCATATTTGTCACGGATGCGTTAAATTTGATAATGTCCTACGAGAACCTTTTGAAGGCTTTGCTGAGTCCTTGGATGTTAAACCTTTGATCAAACAACGATCCGCGCCGTCAACTCACTATCAACCCATGCACAGAGTCTGACCACCCTAGGTTGATATGGACCTATTCTTACCCAGAATCCTCACGGTGCACGACACAAGCGGGTTCGACACAAACGGGTTCGACACAAGGGGTATACACCTAAGCGACTGTGTCCTCGCTTATCTCTCGCTGCGGTAGCATTGTGGGCCTTGTTTCACCTCGTGGTGTTAGAGCTGCAACTGCCTTTATTGTCCACGTATCTTCTTACAAACTGTGTCGTAACAGAAGCACACTGACTCACAGGCACCCCATTGTGTATAACCAGCGATCTGAGTGAATGTTGCCGTGATAGGTCCACCTACGACAAATCTTCCATCACAAGGCATAAAACAAGGAGTCAGTCCACACACACACACACACACACACACACACACACACACACACACACACACACACACACACACACACACACACACACACACACACACACACATCTACTTCTACTTCTACTTACACTGTTCTTCTTGAACTTGTGCACTGGACATTGTCAGGAATCCGAACAGCAAGCCAAGAACCGCTGACACCATGGTTGCTGAGCGTGTATTACTGGAGAGAAGGAAAGGGGAAGAGTTGCTGAATTTCGAGTGAACGAAAAATCGACCAATCGATTTAATATACTGCCAACCCACTGGTAAACACACCTTATGCAAATTCTTCATTTAAATGAAGTGTATCGCTCTTCCCTGATGGGGAGGGACTGCACCCATAAATGGGCACGTTTCTACATGTGTCATCGGATTGTTCCCACTTTGCCGGCAGACAAGAGGGGGATTTAAAAAACGATACGGTGAATTTGAAGCTAAAGTCTGTTTCACCTGAGAGTCACCTTTCAACTATTTTATCAGGAAATGATCATATGTTAGTAAACTATGTGTTGTACTAAATAAACACATAAAGTGAAGACGGTAAACCAATCTTAAGTTTTTAATGTCCTCCCCTTTAAGTCTAATTGCAAAATGGAAGTTACACAGATCAACGTTAGATATATTCCTAATTCTCGTGGTGGACAGAGTTTGGTGTTGGTTGGTTGGTTGTCTTACGCCGCACTCAGCAATATTCCAGCTATATGACGGCGGTATGTTAATAATGGAGTCTGGACCAGATAATCCAGTGATTAATATCATGAGCATCGATCCACGCAATTGGGATCGATGACATGCATCAACCAAGTCAGTGAGCCTGACCACCCGATCCCGTTAGTCGCTTTTTACTACAAGTATAGTCGCCCTTTACGGCAAGCATGGGTTGCTGAAGACCTATTCTACCGCGGAATCTTCACGGGTCGAGTTTGATGTACAATGGGCATAATTCCAGGGTTATGTGTGCGCAAGCTTGCTGACGACCCAACTGATCAGGGGGTCCTTGGTGGTGAAGCAGTATTGTGGAACCATTTTACCAAAGTTGGGCCAAGGTCAACTAACCATGTTGAGTGTTTGCACTCCAAAATGGCACAAATCACTGCCAGTCATCAGTATTCAAATTCATAATCAAATCAGAGCACAGCTTCAGTGAGATAACGATCCCCCAGCTCCCCAATTACGCTCACTTTGCCGGAAGGCTGGGGTCTGTCAAGTCTGGAACAAACTATAGTCTTCATCCCCCTCAATTTTTGTATTTGTCTCGTTGGATATAGTTACGAAGAATACTTGCCAGCAAAGTGAGAGCATCCTGTGTCAGCTCCCTGCCTTAATTCTTGGCATTGTTCAAATCAGGATCACGTGATACACTAACTGAGTTCCCCATTTGGCAGCAACACATACCATTAGAAAGGTTTTTGTTGCTATTTTTCAGATTCCTGTGTAACGGCCCCCGTTACGCTCGCATCCATTGACGAAAACATAATAAAGGGCGGTCTGATTACCCAAGAGTCTAGTCAGTGTTGATTCTCCTCTTTATGAAAACAGTTTCGTCTACCGGATGGTTTTTAAGTAATTACAGCGCACAGTTTGCACAGCCAGATAAAAACAAATCGGGATGGTTAATGAATTAACTGTATCAAAGGTAGAAATGAAGAGGCATTTTCTTTAAATGTTATGTTTGTCACGTGAAGGCCTTTGCAAATCCACGGATGTTAGAACGTATATGCCTACAATACTCCTTTTTCTTTACATGACGTATCAAAGGGCGAGACATGGACGATTTACTTCCCCGTAATGAGAATGTTATGTGCTGCGCTGGTTTCCACTCTGACTTTCCCGTCATGAGTATGTCACGTGCTGCACTAGTTAATCCTCTGACTCTCCCGTCATGAGTATGTCATGTGCTGCGCTGGTTTCCCCTCTGACTTTCCCGTCATGAGTATGTCATGTGCTGCGCTGGTTTCCCCTCTGACTTTCCCGTCATGAGTATGTCACGTGCTGCACTAGTTAATCCTCTGACTTTCCCGTCATGAGTATGTCATGTGCTGCGCTGGTTTCCCCTCTGACTTTCCCGTCATGAGTATGTCACGTGCTGCACTAGTTAATCCTCTGACTCTCCCGTCATGAGTATGTCATGTGCTGCGCTGGTTTCCCCTCTGACTTTCCCGTCATGAGTATGTCACGTGCTGCACTAGTTAATCCTCTGACTCTCCCGTCATGAGTATGTCACGTGCTACACTAGTTAATCCTCTGACTCTCCCGTCATGAGTATGTCATGTACTGCGCTGGTTTACCCTTTCACTCTCCCGTCATGAGTATGTCATGTGCTGCACTAGTTAATCCTCTGACTCTCCCGTCATGAGTATGTCATGTGCTGCACTAGTTAATCCTCTGACTCTCCCGTCATGAGTATGTCATGTGCTGCACTGGTTAATCCTCTGACTTTCCCGTCATGAGTATGTCATGTGCTGCACTAGGTAATCCTCTGACTCTCCCGTCATGAGTATGTCACGTGCTGCACTAGTTAATCCTCTGACTCTCCCGTCATGAGTATGTCATGTGCTGCACTAGTTAATCCTCTGACTCTCCCGTCATGAGTATGTCATGTGCTGCACTAGTTAATCCTCTGTCTTTCCCGTCATGAGTATGTCATGTGCTGCACTAGTTAATCCTCTGACTCTCCCGTCATGAGTATGTCATGTGCTGCACTAGTTAATCCTCTGACTTTCCCGTCATGAGTATGTCATGTGCTGCACTAGTTAATCCTCTGACTCTCCCGTCATGAGTATGTCATGTGCTGCACTAGTTAATCCTCTGACTTTCCCGTCATGAGTATGTCATGTGCTGCACTAGTTAATCCTCTGACTTTCCCGTCATGAGTATGTCATGTGCTGCACTAGTTAATCCTCTGACTCTCCCGTAATGAGCATGTTATGTGCTGCGCTGGTTTCCCCTCTGACTCTCCTGAAATGAGTATGTCATGTGCTGCGCTGGTTTCCCCTCTGACTCTTCCGTAATGAGTATGTCATGTGCTGCGCTGGTTTCCCCTCTGACTCTCCCCTAATGAGTATGCTATGTGGTAGAAAACACCCGTTATCATGTCATACTGGGATAGGTAAGGATGATTCAGAAGTAAATATCTACTAAAAGCTGTGTCTTTTGTACAATTCCGAGTATTCCGCCTAAGCTTTTGTCAATGAGGTGAAATTGGGTTCAACGTCGCGTCCAAGATTATTACACTCATATAGCGACGTGCATGCACGTGTGTGTATGTGGCTGCTTGTACCATCTTTTAACGTCTTTTGGTATGAGGCGGCCCGAGATCGAACCCCGGACCTTCCGCTTTCCGGGCGGACACTCTACCACTAGACCACGGAGGCGGTCCATGTGTCAATCTATCGCTGTCAAATAGTGATGATACTGTATCGATGTATTCAGAATGGGGACATGATAACTAAACATGACACATGGACATACAGTAATACTACCTTAAAGGTTGTTACATATTATAAGTATTTAGGAGTGCCTCTTCAAGGTTAATGTGGTCTATGGCTAGCAAATAACTAGCTCTACAACCATCTGAAACAATTAGGCCAATTTTCAAATTATTCAAGAACAATTATAAATCATGTACTAAGGCCACGATGTGACTGTAAAAACGCACATATTTTATTATTTGGATCGAAACTTTGGAGACTCAGGTATTAGGAATCCACTGAAGCAAGTTCTCACTTTGTACTTTAAAGAGTTGATAAATGCGTTTTAAATAAGTTCATGCCTTGTGAAACTGGCCCTTGCTTGTACTCTCGTATATTTCTAGTCAGATACGAGGTGTCAAACCTTGTTTGAAGTTCTTCAGGATGGATGGACATAGATACCTGACTCACTAGTATGACACATTACAGCAACTTCATGACAAAGGCAAGAGCATCTGGGTGTCTGCACTACGGAACTTAGTATTCATGTGTGGATATGCTTTTTGTTATATGTTGTAAGTATTTGGTGATGTTGGGGGCGGTCGGGTAGCCTAGTGGTTAAAGCGTTCGCTCGCCACGCCGAAGACCCGGGTTCGATTCCCGACATGGGTACAATGTGTGAAGCCCATTTCTGGTGTCCCCCGCCGTGATATTGCTGGAATATTGCTAAAAAAAGCGGCGTAAAACCATACTCACTCACTCACTCACTCACTCTTCGACATCAATGTGGTCCATGGCTAGCCAAAAACAAGCTCTTCAAGCATCTAGAAAATTGGGTCAATTTACAAATTTTTCAAGAAGAACAATTATAAATCATGTGTTACAGCCTCGACGGTGTTGCACTGTAAGACTGCACATTTTCTATTACATCGATCGGAAATTTGGGGATGAAAGTATTATGATCCACTGAAATAAGTTCCCACTATGTATTTTAATCGATACAGTAAACTACGGTTATAACGAACTCAAAGGGACTACTAATTTTAGTTCGTTATAACCGTAGTTCGTTATAAGCATATGCACAGCATAACTACAGCAAATAGTCGGGACCAAAATGTAAGTTCGTTATATCCGTCAGTTCGTTATAAGCGTGTTCGTTTTAACCGTAGTCTACTGTATTTAGGGTTTGGTAAACGCGCTTCAAATAAAGCCGTTCTTTGCGAAACTGTTCGTTGTACTTTTTATGTTCTTTTTTAGTCAGATACGAGTAATCAAACATTGGTTGACATTATTAAGAATGAATGAAGATAGACACCTGGTTCACTGTAGTGAAATATTATTTGTTGAAACAGGTAAGAAAATCTGAATGTTTGTAGTGAGGAATATGCTATCTATGTGTGGATATTCTTTCATGTGGATTTAACAAGCAATTTCTTGTGAGTGAGTGAGTGAGTGAGTGAGTGAGTGAGTGAGTTGGGTTTAACGCCGCTTTTAACAGTATTCCAGTTATATCACGGCGTGTCAGCTTAATGTGGGAGGAAAGCCCGAAGTGATGCAGGTCTTAGACGTTTACCACTTCGGTGAAACCCACGAGCACGGGTATGGTGCTGACAAACCTAGAAACATAATCGGGGCGAACCGGGATTCGAACCCACAATCATAGGTTTTTGGCGTGCCCAAGGGACGCAACTCTGCACAGCGAATCGCGGCGCCTTAGACGACTGGGCCACCCGTGCCCCCAATTTGTTGTGAAACGTTATTCTTGTATTCAACAAAACAAAGACTTAATGACATGTATAGCCATAATTGGCATCAGCAGG